AGGGTGACATGAGGTTTATTATATCTAAAGGTGGCAAAGGAGTATTAACTAATGTCACCTCGAAAGGGGGGATCCTCAGAGGTTTGCAGTACTTGATATGTGTTGGTTGGGTCATGGTCTGTATTTAGGTGAGGTTGGATCGTTCACCCATGCCGGGCTCGCCTTCTGTGCTTTGTCTAAACTAACATTGTTCACACGTTTACTTTGGTAACACAATGCAGCTCTAAGGTACTCAACAATTGGCAGAGAGAACATATTCGTGTTTAAAGTGTTTGTGGGTGTAGCAGCTGGGGACGGTACATGAACAGTGTGATGGAATAAGTAAATAAATGGTGTATTTCTCGATATTGAGATACACCGACCGATTACGTGGTCTGATCGTATTGTACAATATATTCACATAGTGAAGAAAATTGTCTAAGTGTAATAAGGTTTCATCTAAATTGTTTGGAGTCTGCTATCAATTAAAAGTAGTGCAAGAAACAGCTGATACTTAAAATAATTGTTAGAATCGTTATCAGTTCATGTAAGGTAATACAGCCATCCATAGAACCGTCCCCTGGGGACCTGCTTCCATGCAGGGTAGTCCTTCGAGTGGTTTCATCCGCACTTCCACACCTCATCTGGCCATGTGTTATTGGGCTTTAAAGCAGATAACTTCACTATTTTGACTGGTTTAATTTATTTTTTATTTAAAGCAGTTAATTCACTTCAACAATTTGAAAAGCACGGAAAGCAGACGAAGACTGGTAGATTCATGCATTTCGTATTGTCTCCTCAGTACCATTAACAATAATCTATATGGAAATTGGGTGTTGCCCACACGAAAACACTGCATTGGGTGGGCAACACCCAATTTCCGTCTGCTTTGAGTACGGTCCCAGTGATCGCAGTGACTAAGGTTCACTTCAATGTGAACCACAGTCCATTACATTGAGATTGCGCGTCGCAATCCAATCACACAACGTGCAGTCCAAGCTTGACCCTCCAATAACCGATATGCATAGAAATAACTACCAGGAGGTGCAACCAGACAAGCTTAAGGTGCAGAACGAATGACAGAAGTTCACACCTTCCTCCAAGGCAACTTTAGGCTGACAAATAATTGTTTTTGAACACCCAAGGCTGGCTTGTTCCGGCTTATGGCGACAGCTTCCGCAAACCGAAAGAAGCGGGGAATAGTGTGACGTAGCACAACTTTAAACGCTGAGTCCAGCTCTATCCGGTGACCCGAGTCTAATAGATGTTTGCCTATCGAGGAAGCCGACGATTTGTACCTGGGATATTTCCGTAATATTGCTTCTTTCTACCATCAGCAGGAAGAAATCAGCGCGCACAGGACCTAATGAGCTACCCATTGCCACGCCGTTAATTTGACGGTATGGTGTATTCCGGAAGTGAAAATCCACATTCTCCGTGCACAATAGTAGAGATTCTGTTACCAATTCAGTCGGCCAAAGGACTTGGTGCACACGACAGCCAAGAAGAAAGTGTATATAGAGTTACATTTTAAAGATGAGTTGGCCTAGCTGAAGACAACTAAGCGTATAATTTCGGCTACACAAGGAAGTTACTATGCTGCACAAGTTGTCATCATAAGCCGAACCCGAAATTTGCCCATTCCTCCAACGAAGGAAGCTCAGCTTATTGGGGCCAACTCACACTGTGTATACCAATTTGTATGTGACTACGGAAACAGTTACATAGGCAGAATTAGTAGAACGCTGACTTCCCGAATAAACCAATAAACCATGTATCAAGATGGGTTCAACGTGAAGTTGCTCAGATTGCCTACCCTCGTCAGATTCCAAGTTTACGCAAACCGCCGGCTTCCTCGATAGGTAAACACCTATTAGAATTGGGTCACCGGATAGAGCTGGGCTCAGCGTTTAAAGTTGTGTTACCTCACCCTAATCCCCGCTTCTTTCGGTTTGCGGAAACTGTCGCCATAAGCCGGAACAAACCAGCATTGTGTGTTCAGAAACAACAGACGGCCGAGTCCAAACTTCTGAGTTTACTGGAAACTCACGCACGCCTACTACATGTGGTAGAGGATCTATCCTTGTGTTGTCGTGTTGTGTTCGCTAACTTTTGCAAATCCACTCTCGACCGTACAAGGCGAAATCGGAATACTCGATTGGAGAACTCGCTTACGAACAGCCAGGATGAGGAGCCAATCGTTCGTGATCCTAGTAAGTACGTGGTCAATTTATCAGACGTACAACTAGACGCTTTGCAGTTAGAAGCTTTGTCATATGGGCTTGATTACAAAATTCCTCCTAGAAGACTGAACGGGTTGTTCATAGAAGCTCAGTTTGAGAACTTTTTTGATCAATTTAAGGAGCTTCAACCATCCAGTCCTGAGAGTGTTGTTTGGTTTAGAAACAAATTGACCGACATTGCCCATGAAGTTAAGACTGTGCCAGTGACTGAAAAATGCGCACTTACAGGCCGACACCTTCAGGCGCTGCGTGAACTGCGTACTAAGAACGTAGTTGTGATGAAACCGGATAAGGGCTCCGGAGTTGTGGTCATGAATAAGGCTGAGTACGCTCAGAAAATGAGTAACATACTCAACGACACGAGCAAATTCGAACGACTTAATAAGATGGAGAACGTAGCCGACGTTGAAACTAGCATTTCTGCCCATCTCGAAATGCTTCTCCTTCATCGCGTGATTGATAGTGACACCTATAATTGTTTGAAGCCATGTGGCAGCACTACTCCGCAGTTATATGGGTCACCGAAGACACACAAGAGTGGAGTACCACTTAGGCCGATTCTATCAATGGTAAATGCGCCGCAGCATAAATTGGCTCGCTGGCTAGTGAAGATACTTTCGCCTCTGAGACAAATGTCCAATCCATATAGTCTTAAAGATTCGTTTCAACTTATCGATGATTTAGATGACATCAACCTCTCCGATAAGGTCATGTGTTCCTTGGATGTTGAATCTCTATTCACCAACGTTCCACTACAGCAAACTGTTGATTACATATGTGAGCTAGTTGAACAATCTAGTTATTCGTTACCAATTCCAGTCGAATTTCTAAAGGAATCCTTACTTCTGTGTACAGCAAATGTTGGCTTCCACTTTCAGAACATCCCATATCGTCAAATCGATGGTGTGGCAATGGGTAGCCCACTAGGCCCTGTGCTTGCCGATTTCTTCATGCTGATGATAGAAAGAGGCATATCCGCAGAAATAGCCCAGTTACCATATTATAAGCGTTATGTGGATGACATATTGGTCTTTTGTTCATCGGAGCAGCAGATTGTCCAGTTTGTGCAGCAACTCAACAGGGCACATACCAACTTACGGGTCACCTGCGAAGTGGAACAAAACAACTGTCTGCCATTCTTAGACATCCTCATCAGTCGCAGGGATGATGGGCTCATTAAAAGGTCTATCTACAGGAAAGCAACCTGGTCCGGCCAATACCTGCACTTCACCAGCTTCACACCAGTGCGGTACAAGCGGACACTTGTGAAAACTTTAGTTACTCGTGCTAGACGAATTTGCTCGGCTGATTGTCTAGCCGACGAGCTAAAGTTAATTACAACAACACTCATTGCAAATGGGTATCCACGTAGATTTATAGAGAAGCACAGTCAACAGCGAGACCCAAAAGACTTGGTGCATACGGCAGCCAAGAAAAAGATCTATATCGAGTTGCCTTTCAAAGGTGACTTTACTGTATTGAAAACCACGAAACGTCTAATCTCTGCTACGCAGAGAAGTTACTGTGCTGCTCAGGTTGTGGTCATCAATAGAACCTGTAACTTGCCGTTGCCTCCAACGAAGGAAGCTCAACCGATAGGGGCCAACTCACACTGCATATACAAATTCGTGTGCGACTGCGGAAACAG